ATTATCGGACATCCCTAAACATAAGTCATGTGATGAAAATGTTGTTAGATTACAATTAGGTGGGTAAGGAGACAACAAACTCCTCTTAATTCCTACCTGGATATTGCACAGCATGGACCACTGTCAGGTAATGTTCACATTGGTGTTGAACTGGAGCACGTCACTAGAGGACCGTGCATATGAACGTCTCGTAAGAGCAGGTAATAGACAGGTTAATAGGGTATTTCAAGAAAGATGTCTTATCACAGAAGACGGCTGGCTCTGATGAGCAAACGCACTAGTTACCCAAAATAAATCACTAAAACAGGAAGAGAAAATGTTTTTAACCAGTGAAATGACACGTACAATGGTGCACCTTCTGTGAGTGGTTCAAATAGTTAAACATTTTAGGAATAGTTAGAAATGAACTGGTTCAGAGTTAACTTGACAACGGTCTTAGACTATAGCTTTGAGGTGCACTATCGTGTTTGGCATTCACATTGACCCAAATGAACCACATCAAACACAGGGTTTAGTTCAGCTTCACTAAACAAGGCTGGTGTGAATCTGCCTTTAAATGTTTTTATATTACAATTACTTCACAGTATTGTTATTGTGTGTGTTCTAGAACCTTTCGGCCAGTCCCAGCTTAGTGACATCCAGTCAGTCTCTACTGGAATGGTGTCAGGAAGTCACGAAGGGTCACAAGGGAGTGAAGATCACCAACTTCAGCACCTCCTGGAGGAACGGCCTCGCATTTTGCTCCATCTTACATCACTTCCACCCAGAGAAGATGTAAGAAAGAATTGAAACATTTGATCGACAGAAGAAAAGTTTATTTTATTCCTCTTAATGTATACACTGTTTTATGTGTTTATTTTGTCTTCTTTTTGTAGTAACTATGAAATGCTGGACCCGTATGACATCAAGCGCAACAACAAAAAGGTGATTAACAATTGGTTATCTGTTGATTAAATTACCAACATAGCATAATTGTAACTTTTTGCATTTTTTTAATGTGTTAGTTAATTCCTAATCTGATCCATCCATCCATCTATTTTTCTACGAATTGCAGGCCTTTGATGGCTTTGCCGAACTTGGCATTTCCAGGCTGATGGAACCTTCAGACATGGTCATGCTAGCAGTGCCTGACCGCCTCATTGTCATGACCTACCTCAACCAGATCCGCACCCATTTCACTGGCCAGGAGCTCAGTGTCCTCCACATAGAGAAGAATAGCAGTGAGTCCAGCTATGCAGTAGCAGGAGACCGGGAGAGCCAAGAAGACCCAGAGGCAACCGTTCGCTACTGCGCCCAGAGGCTCCAAGAGGAGAATATCAGTCTTGAGACTAATGGGACTGCTGGCACAACAGACAAGGACAGTAAATCCAGTCGGGATGTGGTTCCACCTCCCAGAACCAAACGGCAGCAGATTGCCGGGGCATGTGGGGCTCAGTTACCAGTGGCACCACCAAGGACTCATTTCCTATCCAAGTCAGGTTTCTCTCATGTGAAAGATGCTGATCTGGTCAAAAAACGTAGGTCACAGCGGAGAAGTGGGTCAGTAGATGAAGGAGATATAGCAGTGGTATGGTACCTTATTGCCTTATTCATTTATCCCTTTTAATCCTTCTCATTACCTCTTTCTCTTTTACCTATGTATGATGATATATGGGGAACTTTTTTGTCTGCAGGTTGTTGCAGGGCAAGAAGACGGTGTAAATACCCGGAGGAAGTCAGAAACAGGTTAGTCGTTCTCTAACAGCTTGACAACTGACCTAATATCTCCACTTTTAAAAAAAAAACTTAGCCATGTCTCCTTTTGATATTATGTGGACATGATGATTTAAAATGTTTTTTTATTGTTAAATCAAAGTGAAGCATTGCTTAATTTATACAAGTGGTATAGTTAATTTCTGTTTGTCTCACAGAGAGGACAGAGGTGGTTGAGGAGGGAAGACCAGAAGGCCAGGTCAGTTGGCAACCATCTGTCTCACTGGAGGGTTTGAATATCAAGAACTAGGGTCCAAATTTGTAAAAACGTTTTATTCTGCTGATTTGTCACATGCATACCATTTCTGTTCCATTTTGTACCTTTGATAAAAAACATACATGAGTGTTATAGGTAATTGTGTTTGTGTGTCTGTTGACATATCCAGGACCAGAGCCAGTATGTATTGAATCAGATGGAAGCCCTAGAGGCGGAACAGAACCATATTGATAACAGAGCAGGCGTGGTGGAGAGGAAACTCAGACAATTACTGGAAACAGGTAAGATAAATAGTTAATAGTTAGATAAATAGATACAGAAAATGTTAATAAGGTATTTCCTGGTTACAGCTTAATAGATGAAAAGCAAATGAAATTCCGGGTTACTAAATTATATTTTGATCGAATAAAGTAACTCAGTTGTACAAATAATTACATTTAAGGAAGAAAATTTGCAATTTCGCAAAATTATTTGTAATTTGAAGGCACTGTATTCTGATTTTGGGTTATAAGGATAAGATGCTTCTGATGTATAACTGAAATTAGGGGTGTAAGAAAATATTGATTTGTTTGAGTATATATATTTTTACTACAGTTTTCCTAAAATTTGATTTTTTCAAACAACTAACAAGAGGGTCATCTTACTGTTATTCTCTCCTTCAGGCAGTGACAAGGTGGAGGAGGAGAGGTTGATTCAGGAATGGTTTATGCTGGTCAACAAGAAGAATGCTTTAATCAGGAGGCAGGACCATCTGCAGCTACTGTAAGACATCCACAGCACACACTGCTGAACAGTAAACTGTAGAATTTACATGACAGTATTTACAATCTCAGCAAAGGTCCATTTAGTTGCAGTTCTGGAGCTTTTGAGCATTCAGAATTCAGATTACAATGTATACGTTCACGTGTATATATTTTTCTGTGAGCTTTAAGGGCCATGTTGGCTTAAACAAAACTCTAAACATTAAGCCTATATGGGCAGAAATGCCCTTTTTGTCATAAACTCAAGTTCCATCTGAGGAAGAGTGATACAATATAAAGCTCTAGAACAGCTACTGAATGGCCCTAGTAGTGAACTAGTTTTTCAATGTAATTCAAATGATGTTTATAAGATAAGTGAATTTAAATTAAACTTAAATTCTCAGTATTCGCAATGTTTGCAAGATTTCCCTTTAAAGCTTTGCAAGATTTGAATGGAAAATCTTGGGTGTCTTATGATTTTAAATCCTAACATCTGGCTGCATTAAGCCCCCCACTAATTGAGATGCTGTAAATTAGCTCAAGTAAATATTGATATCTTGAGATCTTTGGGGGAATCCAAATATGAGACAAAATATCCCGGATACACCTGCTGCCATCTGTGAGTCTGTGCAGTAGTTATGGGGTTTGGCACCGCGGTACCATATGCCTAGCCGACTCATTTGCAAGCAGGGCTCAGCTGTCAGTCATGATGTGAAATCCCCTTTTTATAGTTTCAAATAACTAATTCAAAAACCAAACTTATCAGCCGTCTTTGCAAAACATTTTTTTGATGTGTACTTGGATTTTTTAGATTATGTCCCATCTGCTAACATGGAGGCAGCAGGCTTTATGAGCTAAACTGCAGTCAGTCACCAGAGGGCAATAGAGATGATTTGGCTTTACTTTTGGAGAGCTGTCATTTCGTCCATCTTTATATATGTTAATGGTTGACCTGGAGATGCCTCAGCACTTGTGATGACAAACAAGCCATCTCCATGACAATGGAAAAACACTCAATTGGATGAGGAAGACGGTGAGATTAAAAATCTTAAAGATGGAAGTAAAGAAATGGGACTTTAGCCTCTATTCTTACTGAAGCTATAAGACAACTCTCCTCCACAAGCTTGTAACGGCTCATAAACTCTTGTGACTGACAGGCTGGAGGAACAAGACTTGGAGAGAAGATTTGAGCTGTTGAACAAAGAGCTGAGGGACATGATGGCAATCGAAGGTATGACTTTATTGCTACAGCTTCATCAACACTCACAGACCATGACAGACTGCCTGGGGTTCAATGCTCAGTTTGTGACCTTCTGTCTCACTGTGGTGAATTCAATCATTCACTTGGAAAAAGAGAAATTCTAAAGCATGTCTTCTAAGTCTGCCAAGGAAGTACTTGAGTATTTGATACTCATCAGATGGGTGGGTGGAGTATATTTTGCATCAAGTCAGTTTGATGTGCACAAGACCCCAGATAAACAGTCTTTAGTTTTTATTTTGCAACAGCCTGCAATTACTTACGCATCTTTATGCATGTTTAATGCAGTGGTTCCCAACATGTTGTCTTAATGGACCCCGTTTCTATCATTGAGTAAACTGACGATCCCTGCTTGAGTGACATATTTTATGGATTTATCTTATTATATTAAAAACTGGACTATTATTATTATTTTGATTAGTTTATTTATTGTTTAGGGGGCTTTTTATCTAATTCTCTCGTATGTATTTTTAACAATCATACATACTTAATAGACTTCTTTTTTGACAAATTCAGTGTTTTCTTGTCCCTGACCTGTGTGTTAGGACCCCCACTAGGGGTCAATAAAGTTTCACACACAGTAGGTCTGTATTTCTGAATTGGTTCACTTCTGTGAAGAAATGTAAAGTAAATTGTCCAACAGAACAATGTCCAGGGACAATAAAACACAGAAGTTTTCAAAAAAGTCTGTATGATTGTAAAAATTATTTTAAAAAAATAAACAATACAGACAGAGAATTGTTTAAAAAGTTCCCTAAATAGGAAATAATCTGCTCATCTAACTCCCCCTGTTTTACATAAACTTCTTGCAGTTACTGAGTTCATAATTTGTGTTCATTGTACAGTTTTGAATATAATGTATGTAATATATATATTAAAATGTCCATGAAATATGTCACTCAGTCAGGGGTCGTCAATAAATGGTAGAAAAGGGATTCTCTAAGGAAAAAGGTTGGGAACCACTGATCTATTAGACAATTTACTTTACTTCACAGAGGTGAACCAAATTCAGAGATATAGACCTACTGTGTATATTGCTTACGTTCTCTAGCACCCCTTAAAATGAAGAAGGGCTCCTGACCCCACTGTGAAGCTTTCCCTCAGGCAAAGCTAGCAGGAATGCAGATTTATGCAAAGTGAGCATAAAGGACTCAAAATGCACTATGATTTGACAGTGGGACAGCACCACGCGCTGGCTGTAGTCAGGCTGCACCGCTGTCATCCTCCACACCACCACTTTCCATTTTCTCTCTTCAGAAATTTCTCATCCTTTTCACCTCTCTTCCTTTGTTTTGTTCTGTTGTGATTGTGCTGCAGAGTGGCAGAAGTCTCAGGCCCATAAACACAGAGAGCAGCTGCTGCTCCAGGAGCTGGTTTCACTGGTCAACCAGAGAGACGAACTGGTCCACAATATAGACGCCAAGGAGAGAGGGTGAGACCCAACGACTGTTTCTGTGTTTGTTTCTTTTACTGGCTCCACAGCTACAGGTGGAGAAATGATACTGGTGGTCCACACTGACATATGTAACTATCAGGTTCTTTTTATTAACGATGATGTCTTGGTTAAATGTAGTTAATAACAAATGGAACCAAAACAGAACAAAATATTTTTTTCATCTGCATAATTACAACATTCGTGTCTTTTTTATTCATGGCTAGTTTACCACTAGATGGCAGTAGAGTGTGAGGCTTCTCAGCCCAAAAGAGGGTCACCAATTAAAGACTAGTTTGGGGGCGATAAGCGAACAAATTCTCTTATTTTTGTTCGTATCCATGATTTGTTGTTGTTTTCTTAGTACCCATCGATTTTTTCTTTCTACAATGATTAAGTAAGAGAACATTTTACGAGAGCACTCTTAGTAAGATAAAAACCAACAACTAGTTTTCACAGTTCACAATTGTCACTCAATAGGTTTTACATTTGAGGAATATAAAAAAGCATGAATATCATATAATCAGATTAGATTATGTATTCTAGATGAATTATAGTCAGGGTGAGAGTTACAGGGAGCCAGGGAGAGCTTGGCTCCTCTTAATAAGACATGAGCTCCCCTGAAAACATGGTTTGTGAAACAGTTGAGATAAAGTTTTTTTCATTGGTGACCTGGCCAAGAAGGCAGCAAAGTTTCACGTTGAGTGCCAGTTTTATACATACCAACAAAAAAGTACAAAACAATACAAATTATATAGGATTTTAACACATCGACCACAGGGGTTAAATGAGCACAGAAATCAGTTAACAAAATTAATTATGCATTGTAGCAAGAACATTTTCTACTAAAAACATCAGTTGGCTTTTGTTTAAAACTGGCTACAGAGACTAGATTGAGTCTTGGCTGACTTTTCGGGCTTTTTTTGGTGGCATCTCTCCAATTCTTGCCCATGTGCCAGAGTATTTGCACATGACACCACCTGCCCCTGTACAGTGTTTAGGGGGCGATACCTTAGCTAATAACAATCAGCCACATGTCCTGTGAGATCCATCATTCAGCACTCCTGAGCAGCTTTTTATGGTTAAGAATGTTTGGTGCATCTGGAGCTGACTTCTCTTATTTTTTTTATTTTTATTAAAAGAAGTTTGGACTATATAAGGCTTATAAAATGATGATAGACGTGTATGATGGCCATTCCCATCCTCTATTTTGTATTATTAAGTTGTTGCAGCAGTTTTGGTGCAAAATTTAACCATTTGGATAAAAATACACCATATGGGGGACACCATAAAAAAAATCATGCTGTGATTTGGTATTAAAACTCTTCTTTTTCAGAGCTCTGGAGGAGGACGAGCGTCTGGAACGAGGCCTGGAGCAGCGGAGGAGGAAGTATGCTAAACAGCAGAAGGAGAAGTGTATGATGCAGTGATTCTGTCGACCTCCGGCCCCGAATTGCTCGGTTACCGATCTGGAAGAATGTGGGTCAAGACAAAACCAAGAACGGGACAATGGGATGTTTGGTGCTCTTTCACCTGCTGCAGAGTCAACAGCAAGAGGACATGTAGGCCAGGACTGCCAACACAGCTGATCCATGGAGGATGCACAAGAACACACTGAGCCAGTATAAGGTGGTGTTCTTCTAATAGAGACAGAGGTGGTCCACAACCAGAGTGAGGTTCCCGGACATGTCAGCTATGTTTCGGCCCTGTTTTTTTTTTTTGTGTCTTAAAATGTGACACTAGGCTCCATTTTATGACCAAAGGTAATTGGAGTGGGCAGTAGTGTTTCCACAATCCATTGTCCATTTATCAAACCCTACAGAATGCAACAAGGAACTTTGACCCACTTAGCAGAAGCAACACGTTCTCATCCCAGTTCATCATATACCAGCTAATGCTTTGTCACACCCCTTGGCATCATTTACAGAAGCACAAGGGACCCTTTGGTCTCTGTGTGAGACGCCTTTTCAACATGTTGTGCAGTGATAGCAGTTTGGTTAGGTTTAGGAAATGAAACTACTGGGCTAGGTTGAGGAAAAGATTAATTTTGTATCTTACATGATGTCTGAGCCATCCATCCATCCCAAGCCCCTCCTTACACGGACTAGATCAAAGCCTGGATCGTCTCATACAGACACTAGAGGGTACCTTGTGCTTCTTCATGACTTGCCCAAAGGCCGTGTTGGTATTTGACGTCCTGGGAATGAGACCAGGCTGGCAGAAGGAGCTGAGTGCCTCAGAGAGAGCTGCTTGTATCTTGTTTGCTTTGCAGTTTCCGTGCTATGTTTTTAGTGACTTTTGTTGCATATTGGGATTGTGAATGTGTATTGTGTTTGATCCAAAGTGTGTGAGAGTG